AACTAGATAGGCCTATATATATTCTTTATTCTTATGTCATGAGAGGGGGTCCATACATTTCAAACTCCCATTAAATTAAATACGTGAGACATATTGTTGCTTAAAAAGTAATTGATGATAATTACATCCTGATTTTAAAAATAATTATTTGTTGCTTGGGTATCTGTGATATACTTCAGAGCAGCTGCTTTTGTGTGTGGAGATTTTGTCCACGATCTACATTTCTCAGAATATTTAAAGAACCTTTGCTCATATAAAAAGGCACCTGTAACCCGCTTGTCAGATTCATACAGAGTCTTACCCAGTTCAGCAAGGAGATGTTACTAAATCAATGAAATTTCATTGAATATGATTTTATTAATGGAAAAATTTAATGATGTTACTTATTTGGTTCTTTAATTGTGTCATTTTCAACTTGCAAATGTTTGATAGACAAAATTCAAACATTCATCCTAACAAATAAATTAACGGTAAATACAAACTGGTAAAACAAAAGTTTCAGTACGCCAAACGGACCGAACAGGAATACCTGCTGAACTGCCAGCTGACGATGTCTGCGTTTGGACTGCCGCTTTAGCCCCAGACAGTTCCCGTAATGCAGGATTGACAGGGCGTTTCTGCAGACACACTCCACACACTCCGACTCCTCTGTTAGCATGGGAACGTCCAGCTTCAGCATTAATATTCCCATACTAATCAGCTGTCGCTCACTTAAATAATGTCTACTAGAATGACTGAATGTTTATGACACAGCCAACTGAGAGACCAGTACACGTCCCACAGCATTTAAAATGATATTTCTTCAGATAAGATACAAAAACGTTAATATTTTACAAAATAATTATCAATTAAGAGAAATTACTGCAGAAAACAAGGTGATACATAAATTCATTATAATGAATTTCAGTTAAACCAGTTCTAAACTGATATTTATTTAATATGCTGATATATTTGATATGCTGGACAAATACTGCCCCCTGTTCCTCAGGCGTGGATGGTGCAGCGGAACAATTTAATAAGTGAAATAGCAAGATGGACTTTAATAAAATTTGGGTAACATAACCACACATGCATCTAAAGCAATAGGCCTGTTTATCATTATGAGAATATGTTGTTGATCTTTTTCATAACTTGGTTTAGAATTTAGTCATTACTGTTGTTACCGTATGAATCCGTCATTACCGTATTGAAAGTGCATTCTCACTTACCTAAGGTAGCTTCCCCAAGGGTGTAGATTTGGGTATGAACAGTAGGAACATGTAGCTACAAATATTGTGGGAGTACTATACAGTATGTGATTGGGGGGCAGGGGGGTCGGGGCAGATTTGGTCCCTACCAATACTGAAACCAAGACCAACGACTTGGAGATTACCTTATGCTTTGGATTGAAAAGTACAGCAATGTATTCTGTTGTAGAGTTAATCATACAATGTCTCTTATTTGAAGAGTTTGCAAAACATTATTATAGATGGTACTCTAAACACGTTTCGGAAAGGCTCCAGAAACTCAGTCAGAAACATAAAGGAACCAGTGGGTGTCTGATGTTTCTTTCTAAACGGTCCGGGGGGAGATTCAGCTGTATGAACCGGGGGACGCGTGAGTAGGATCCTGCC